TATATATATATATTGCCTATATTTTTTTATTAAAGCAAGCAATTCAGATAACTCTTTTAAAGGATATTTTAAAGGATATGAAGTAAAGATGGAGCTCCTGTAGGCTCATGATTGAACATCAACATCATCTTAAACAAATAGAAATGTTGGGTTAAAATTGATCTGTACACCAAAAAAAAAAAACTTTAAAATTAAGAGGCTATTTTATCAACTTATAATAATTTATAATAAAAAATGTGTCAGTAAATTTTTCACCAACCCACTTCAACAGACACAGCTATAAAGATATTTACATAAATACAAAAATTGTTGGTCTTTTAACCCACCAGTTCAGTGTTTTTTCCCTCCTTTCTTTGAGTCAGCAGATTCCTGTTTAGGTTTTGCAGATCGGGCGAATTGCTGGAGTTTAAGTTAAGGCATGATTTTATTTGACAGAAAAACATTTGTAGAAATAAATCCTAGGTGTAAAAAGCAAAACACACTGTTTTTGTTGGAGAGTGAAAGACAAAACATTCTGTCAGAAATGTAATGTCAAAAACAAAGGATACCACCACAAGAGGTTTGTCGTTGAGTATATATCCATTGGTTTCCTTTAAGGCCTTCTCTGCACTTCTCTCGCTGGGGAGCCCAATGAAGGCCTGACCTTTCATCCTCCCCTCTTTCATCAAAACAATATCAAACCTGATGGGAACAAACACACTTGTACATCAGCACATGTTCATGAAGAACTCACCTGTATTCACCACTAGCCTAGGAGTGGGGTTTTCTTTTCATTGGCTTTGATTGTGATTCGCAGAGTTAAGGCCCCAGACAAGGGCCTGAGGCATAAGACAGTGGTGCTTACATGTTTCTCTCCTCCTCTGAGGAGATGTCGATATACCGGCCGTAGATGAACTTCAGATCCTGCGGAAAAGATTGAGCTGGGTTATGTAGCTGGTACTAAAGTGAGAATTATGAGCTCTCCGACTGTTCTAGACCCCACACTAAAGCAAATGTTATGCAATCTTAAGAATTTTCTGTATGTAGAATACAAATATATATATATATATATATATATTATATTTGCAGTATTACTGTAAAAACTAGTAATAAAGAGTACCAGATCAACTAATAGGCTGATATTTAGCCATCTTAAAATTATTTGCATGACCACTTAGCCAATTAACAAAACTCGTTAAAGTTTATTCATAAATTAATAAGTTATCTGGTTTTCCAGGAATTGTTCAGTCCAAGAAAATAAATGTATAAAACATCATTGTAAAAAAAATTTTAAATAATAAACAAGTAAAATATATATTAAAAATAAAATAATACATTTAACATAATATTTATCCATACATTAATGCATTAACTCATCCACTAATTAATGAATATATTATTCAGTTATCCAATAATTGTCCAGTCCAACTCATCTACTGATATTACAATATTACATTATTATAATATCAATATAAAATATTTTTTCCAAAACAAATAATTTTATCCTTACATTATCCAGTTATCCAGTAATTGTCTAGTCCAATTCATACATTGACAAAATAAATGTATTAAAAAATTATAAGAAAAATGAATATGTAATAATAATAATATGAATCATATATATATATGTGTGTGTGTCTTTATATATGCCTGTCAACCACTAGTAAAATTTAGTTTTTTTATTTGTGTTGGTAGAGCAGATACTTACTTTTTCTTCAACTTGCTTTGCAATATTCTTAACATAAAGCCTGCAGGTTGGCTCTCCAGGTTCATAATTTTTAAACACAGACATTTTCTTCATCTCTGCAAATGTAAAAGAGTCCATAAAATAATAAGTCAATACAACAGACGCACACAATCATGTGAAAAGTAAATCTGAGAGATAAAGCTGTCAAACGTACGTTTAGGAATGACTGACTTAAACTAAATACATCAAGCAATCACTCGCAAACATCTGAAACATGCAAACAGTCATATGACGACAGCCTGGTGTTCTTTGTATCAAATATTAATTTCCTCTTTAAAGATCAGCTGCATGCTTCTTGCGAACACTCAAAAGGCAAATTCAATTCTATTTGATGTTCGGTGTACTACGAAGAAGAAGAGAGTGTATGCGTGCACAATTTGAGAGTGTTTCACCGTCTCTGGAGAGTCTCCCTCTCTCTAGCTCTCTCCTAGAGATAAACTCAGAGGGGATGTCCTCATCTTCCTCCTTCTCTTCCTCCTGTCTGGGAACCTGAGCGCTTGGGTAGATTTTCCCAAACCCTTCCGCAGCTTCCTGAACGGAAACCTCCATCTCTGCCGTGTCTAGGAAAAAGTTGCAGAAACATAATTAGAGTGTGTTTTGAACTGTCACGGTGCTCAATTTCAATCTGTCTGAGACAGGCTGCCTGTTGCAGATTTCAACGATGACAAGCCAAAGGCGTCACCGAAGCCTTGTGTGAACACATATCAAAATGACAAGCCTTGACTATTCAAAACAAACTAGAAAACAAAAGCACAGGATTGTTTTCTTGTCGTGCATGAAAGCAAAATCGATTCCTGTAATCAATAACAAAAGGCACGTAAAAACAGATAAAATGGAAAATTCATGCCAGAGGAAAAAAAACAGGCAAGTGTATTAATCTCTGAGGGTGACACTAGTGTGGGGTCACGCTCTGTGGGGTTTTCTTTCAGGTTCTTTCATAGCGCAGTTGGAGATGTCACCTGGCAGTTGGCAGTAAACAGTAAGCAAAGCGCGTATGAGGAATTATGGGAAGCAGCGAGGCTACACAAATCCTCTGGAAACGTGTCTGACAGATCTAGTGCCTAATGTTTACTAGAGCAAGAAGTGCTGATAAGTTTCCCTCAGAGAGTGTGGATTTCTTTGACGTTTCTCGTCATTTAAACATATTGTTTATCAGTTAAATGCAAGCACACTGGAAATAACTACCGGCTCTGTGCTTGTTTCTTTTTTCAACAGGTTAGGAAAGCTGTTTGTCTTTGACTTTGGAACGTTTTCTGTCTCCGTTTTAGGTCGTAGACATTAATGGAAAACAAACAGGAAGATAAGGTAAACAAAAGACTGTGGATCTCAATTTGACTGCAGTGGACGAATTTTATGCTGTGTCTGTGAAGAGTGCCGGTGCTAAATAATTGCAAAAACGTACCTGCACTCTGTAAAGAATTATTGTAATTTTAATGGTAAAAATGTCCATTTATTGGTCCTAAAATACTATTAGAGTTACAGATTTTGACAATGAAAAAAAACAAGTCTTCTTATAATTTACAGAGAAAAAAATAATTCGACATTTCTATAATTCCTTGTGTGAAACTTCATATTTGATGTTTTTCATTAAAATAAGTTTCATCTTAGTTCCCCTTCAGGAACTCGAGCTGCGTTAGAAATGCGTCTGCATGACTGAAGCACATGTGAAATCAGTCCAGTAGAGTGGCGAGACGTCTCGGTCAGGGTGACGTAGTGACCAGGAAGCTTTAAAAACGCATCCAGTGAAAACAACGTTAGATTCTGCTCTTCAGCAAGCGCTCGAGGGAGCTGACTGTGTGCATTGTGAGCGGCTGCCACTGCGCTGCGTTCAATTACGCTACTGCAGACCGAACAGCGTTATTATTATAATATTATGTGCTTTGTACCGTAATGTTTTCTCACTGGTGAATGAGACATGAGAAAATCTGGCAGCGTTGCATTCAACCCTCCACCAACGCCGTCTCTCATTGTGTCGCTTGTTAGCCTCTGGTCTGCCTGTGCGCGTTCATGTGTTTTGGAGGAGGCGTGGCTTTGGAGAGTGATTATGCAGTGAGGGTGGGATCTTATGCTTTTTCAAAGCTAGCTTGCTAATGCTACCCTCTCTGAAATCGCCTGCCCTACTTGAAGTATGCTAGGTTTTTATGTGTTAAATTTATGATTATTGAATTGAAGGTGTTTTGTATTTATGGGTGTCTATATATTAGTATTCACCTCAGCTTGTGGAAAATCTACTTGTGATGATTTTTGATTGTACATGTGGCTTTTTCATGACCACCTGTGTTTTTGGTATAAAATTATAAAGGTATAAAACTGATTTAGTACTTTATTTAGGTTTAGATTTAGTACTTTAGTAGGTTGGTATATTAACATTATATCAGTTTATACCGGTTTTTACTGTAAATTTAAGTTCTGTAAAACCTAAAATGTATTTTTCACAGTAAGTTCTGGCAAAGGTTTTTTTTAACAGTGCACCAAAAAGTTTCATGTGCGTTTGATTTTGTTTGATCGTTCCATCATTCCTAATTCCCGAATAAAGTTTCAGAGTTATCCTGATGCAGGGGGAGGGTCTCGACGCCTCATGGCGAGAGCAGCTCGGCCTGCTGACAGCCCGATACATTAAATCTTCTCTCCAGCAGAGTCACTATTCTCAGGGCTAATTGCTGTGTTAATTGAGCAGGTCCGCTCAGGATGGATGGCTAAACCCGGGGCGCATTCGGTGATGCAGGCGGATAGATAAATGAATGATGTGGAAGGAGTGGCAGGGGACGTGCAGCCTTACCTTCGGTCGCATCTGCAAACTGCTCTTGATTCTGTCTGGGACCCTCGAGGATGGTGGACACCTCAGCCGATATATGGAACTCAATCTTTTTCTGTCCAAGCGTCTGAGGATGCTCAAACACGTCTGAAGGCTGCAGGGCTGGGCCTGAGGGACTGAGAGATACAACATTGAGCTATCTGCAAATCTTTTTGTATTGCTGAAGGTGGTCTATTGAAACTATAAGGTGCTGTTTTGTTTTACTTAATTAATGATAAAGAAGCTTCTGGTTTAGTGAAATGCAGCTGATAGAGCTTACCCGTGGGAATCTGGTTTGGGAATAAACAGGAGGTCTTTTAGTTTGGGTTTCTTTCTCTTGGAAGAAGTCTTTGTTCTCAACGGCCTTTTGCATGGCTGGTTAACAAGGCCCATCAGTCTGATCATCCTTTGTGGAACGCAGAGAGAAGAAGTGAGAAGCTATTAAACATGTATGGCTTTTGAACACAAGGTAAAACACGGCAACAAAACAAACAAACCGAACATTTTGCAGCTTTCAGCTGCTGCCATTCTGGAGGCCGACAATCTGTCAATGAGAAAACGTGCCAATGCTGGTGATGCATAGTCAAAAATACTACCACAGTTATTTTTAGATATTGGACAACAGATTGTGTAGTGGCAGACACAAACTTGATTAATAATCTGTCTGTCTGTAGGAGCAACGTCCCTGTAAAATTTTTGATTTATTCATTAGTACTGGCCAATATTATAGATGTTATAATTGTCTATGCTAATTTAGTTTTTACATACAGTTTAGTTAATCATTAAAATTCTCTTTAAAAACACAAATAGTTTAATAACACGGTTAAATGTAATCTTTAACAAACTTTTTTCAAACTTATAATGTTGTGATGCTTAAACTTACTTGTAGCATTTAATACGACTAACTTCTTATTTTTAGTGTCTTATTTTTAATTTATTTAGCCAAATTTTATATATATTTTTATATTGACTATTTAATGATTATTGGCCATGACATGAAAATATGATTGAAATATTATTATTCTTATCAGCTGTATTGTATATTCATTCAAAACTTCTCACCGTTTTGTGTTCAAAAATATGTCCCTGGTTAAATTACACGTTTTATCATGGGATAGTTATACACTACTGTTCAAAAGTTTGGGGTTAGTTAGATTCTTATGTTCACCAAGACTGCATTTATTTGAATAAAAATACAGTGGAAACAGTGATAATGTGAAATATTATTACGATTTTAAACAACTGTTTTCTTTATCCATATATTTAAAAATAAAATATATTCCTTTGATGGCAAAGCTGAATTTTCAGCAGCCATTACTCCAGTCTCAGTGTCACATGATCCTTCAGAAATCATCATTACATGCTACTCAGGAAACATTTATTATTATCCATTTTTAAAGCAAAAACTTGCTTGAACACACTGCGCTGAACACCAAGGTTACCTAATAATGCCAATCTACTTAAAGAGCTTGTAGATAAAATAGAAAGGTGGAGAACCAGCTACCTCTCTTTGTCCTCCTCATCTCCACTCTCGTACTCAGATTCTTCTTCACTGCCTGACACCCCCTCCTCGTGCTCCGGCAGAGGAGGGTTCTCTGGGGGGAAGGGTGGCGGCATGGGCAGCAGTGGGCCTGGCGGCATCTCAAACTGAAACGGTGCAGATGAGTAGGTTACACCTTCTCAAGAGCTCCTTCGCACAGCCGTGTAGCTCATCAGTATTAGCAGAGAACTTCAGTAAAAAGCAAAGCATGAGGGATGAGGCTGAGTTTTAATTCAGGCGATGCGGCAAGATGTGATTCATATTATACATTCGTCATCATGCCGCCCTGGGTTGCTTGAACTGAATTTAAGTTAACATAAACATTTGCAAAAGCGCATAATACCAACTCACCATTGGCGGAGGAGCCATCACTGGTCCAAACGGGCAGGGAAGGTTCATCTTATTCATCAAGTGAAGAACCTGTGGAGGAGCATGTTCACCTGATGAAGAAATGAGTGTGTGTGTTGTTTCCACACACCTGGTACTGAGTATTTCTTGGACACAAACATTAATTGTGACCCTGGCTCCATATGTAACCCAGATTGCTGTGTGCGAATATATTTAAGCTCTGAAACGAAGCTCTGAGCAACAGATTTAATGTGTTTAAACCGCCAGCCTGTTTCTCCGAAATCTAGCGCCACCAAAAGGCAGCCTAGGAAATTATAAAGTCTCCCTGGTGTTTTACAAAGCAGTGCGGTGTAGCTTAAGGGAAAACGTTAAATACATCACTCATCCCTCCCACATGAGCACGATATTAATACCATCAGAATAATTCCATGCAAATATTGTGGTTTGATGTTTTAGAGACTGGACTTGATTCAGAAAAATCACATTAGTGCCAGTCTGAGAGAGCTGAGAATTAATGTTGTTCATTTTTTTTTTTTTTTACCTGAGACAGATACTGATACGCAAGAAGTAAGACTACAGATGCGTGTGTTTACACATTCCCAACATGAACTGATAAATAAAACAACTAAAAAAAGATAAGGGAAAAAGTCTTTGTAGCCTCTACTCACTTGAACGTAGAACTTGGGCATGCTCAGAAGAGTGTGTGTAATGTTTGTCAGAATTCCACTTGAAGGAGGAGGGTATAAATATTTCAGCGTTGGATTTGTTTGAAATTTCAACCTGCGGGAGGAAAGAAAAATGAAAAATTGCCAGTCATTAGCCTCGGAGAGGAGACAGGGAAACATTTCCAGAAATGCTACTCGTGAAAAAATCCATGCACATAATGGTGAAGCATAAATATAAGGGCGAGGTACAAACATTTGGCTGTGTTTCATAAATGCCCACGCCTGCAAAATAAACTTCTGCGAAAACTACTGAGCGGTAATTAAATAATCATGTTACACTGTTAGTTGCTCATATTGCTTGTTACTTGAAAAATGTTGGATTCTGGCTAAGTTAGGAACACTGACACTTTTATTTATTCCTCAACACTGAATATTGCTATATTGCTATAAGTAGTAATTAATTTAGGGCAAGTAATATATGAAATATTCACAATGATTTTGCTGGTAAAACAAAACTAAGCAACAATGTGCTTTTAATGTTTAAAGTTTCATAAAGACAACATAAAACTAGTTTAGTGAAGCTTTACTTGTATGACAGCAGTAAGATTTTAATAATAATTGTAATAATAATAAAGAAAATTTGAGTGTCTCTGTCATTAGTAATGAAAGCACATTAATTTATATAAAATATAAATAAAGTAAAAAAAAATGTTGGTGAATATAAATTAAAATGATGAATTCTCTTTTATGTTCAAGGCATTCAATAACTGACTAATAACCTTTTCTTTGCTATTAAAGTGAAATTACTGAACCTAAACATAACAGCCTGATAAAAATGCTTATTTAAAAGAAAAAATCTCAGAAATATCTCAGACGGACTTAGAGGTTTTTGCATCTGAAGTCTTCATATAGACATATAAAAGGTAACGTTTGTACTGTAGAATGAAATGTTACCCACAACTCCCCACTCCAACATCCAACTTATGCATTTTATGCTCCTTATGTTGCATGGACTTTCCGCGCAGTCAAACGCTTTGAATGTTAAGACTCTTTCAAGTTGAATTTGATTGCGTATTCTATCATCGAAACGGTCTGCACTTCATTCGGAGCATCACACCACTGAAAAACACACTTATCAGGCGACCCCGCTCTGTGTGCAAGAGGTTCTGGCGGAATTAAATAAATAAAAATCTGTCACGGCTCCGCTCGTTAAGTGAAGGTGAGGTGCGGGCTCCTCGTGCAAAATTATATCTTAGCCCACGGTCTCTTTATCAAAGGCCACCTGGTGCCACCACATGGCAAGAGCAGACGGGCTGTCACCGCAGAACAGACACTCTGAGACATGAGCCTGTAATTAGACACGAGACGGACGGTGACAGCCATTCTCCAACTTCCTCTCTCCATCTTTCTCTGTGGGCACTTCCTACAGGGTTACCAGGACCTGAACTACTGGCACCAGGTGCAAGATGTCAATTGAGAGTGTTAGCCTGTCTCAGATCTCCAGTGACATCATAAACACAGTGACACAGTGAGATGGCGCATGCAGAGGAAGTCAATGTGCTGATCAAAAACACAGATGCTTGTGCACACCTACCCCAGACTGGGAGCAATGCTGTTGTCCACCAGACGAACATTGTTTTGCTGTTTGTCTTTCTTTCCCTTCTCAACTTGGGTTCCAGCACCACTGAAACATTAGGAAAAACTTTTATGACTTAAGAAATATAAAGGTGTTTCTTCAACTATGGGCATCTTTGGCTCTGTGAACTTTTCTTAACCCCTTAACTGTCATCGTCCCACCTGTGGGACGCTTGGCGCTCTTTTATTTTGTTGTCCTTTTTCTCTATCAAATATTTTAGTAATCAACATAAACTATATATCCTGAAATCGTTTGGAACATAACTTATTTAGACATAAGGCTTTACTTTTTTAGCAGTTTTAGAGTAAAACCTGTTATGTAAAATATTTATTTTATATAAAATATAAGAAAAATTGTACAGTGCATTTTCTTTACAGTAAATATAAAATTATATAGCTTTTTGATATTTAAATTTTTTTGAAAAAAAAGTTTGGATAGTGCACTTTAATGCCTATTTTAAAAAATGGGGGGTGACAGTTAAGGGGTTTTAAACTCTCTTTAAAACAATTTTTCAAGCACACTAGTTTTATTTGTCTACTAACAAATTGTCTAACTAAAAACAGTGTATATACTTAGTCTGAGGACAATTATGTCATTTTTCCTGAAACACTTTTGATATGATTCTGTTGAAAACTACATTTTTGGAATAAAATGGCAGGCTTCTTTGTCTTGCTAAGGCTAATCTCATAGCTTGTATTTTATATATCTCAGCTACACTAATAACATTTTCACACTTTAATCTGACAAAATTACAGCTTGATTACACTGTAAAAAAAAAATAAAAAAAATTTCGAAGTAGTAAATAAAACCAAGATTACTGGAGTAGGGTTTACAAGAAAATACTATTTGAATGTTTCTACTTTAAAATCTCATGTTTGACTCAATGTTGCTTGCAGTTTTTTTTATTTCTTTTATTTTTTTTATTAATTAATTGTAAAAATTTATGAGCAATTCTGGGTTAAAATTTTATTATATGACAATTATTTTTCACTGCAGAAATAACAATAAAAATATTCTGTATACAACTAATATTTACCTTTCCAGTTTGCTTCACAATCACAAGTCTCATATTTTAGCTCAAATAAACTGACAATGTTGTCACCATGACAGCCATATAAACTAACTTTTAATAAAGCTTTATTAGAGGCAACATTGTTGGTCAGGATGTAAATTATGTGTATTTTTGTAAACCATGTATATAATCTTTGTGTATATTTTTAATGTTTTTAAAATGAATATTAGCTAACATTAACTCTATTCTAAATGCAAATCTAACGACACATTTTAAAAGTAGTCAAAATAAATTCTATGACAGTTTTAATGTGAACTTCATATAACAAAATGAAATATGTTAGCTTAAATCAACTCCTGCAACATAAAAGTGCCTATATTTGAGGAAACATCCATAAACACAGTTCTGATAAAATATAGAAATAGACAATTAGCCAATCAGAGACACATCTAGACAGCTTATATTTAGGGTGGAAGGAACATGAATAACTGGAAGTCTTAAAATTATTATTGATTTTGCCATTTACCTGTTAGACACCGGTGTGTCTTTCAAAACAATGACACTGTAGTGATCTTTCGCAAACTCAACCACTAGTGTGTGACCAAGGATTCTCAGCTGATGAAGTCTGTTTAGTGCCTGCGGGAGGAAAGACATTACTAACATATGTCGAAACCAGCTCTTAAACCACAAGACGAGCATGTGTATTTTAGTTTTACCTTAGAGGCTGAGATCTCACTGCTGAAAGTTGCAAATGCCATATGTTTCTGCAGATGACAACACATTTAGGACAGCTGTATTTATTCACTCCATCATTTACCCAGGTGAAAAATAAAGTGTAACTAAAAATATATTTATTACCATAGTATTTCTACTATACTTTTTAGAAATATACTAATAGTGTGCTTGTGTTTAGCATATTCCTTAAAAGTGTAACTAAGCATATATTTATTACCAAAGTATTTCTAGTATACTTTTTATAAATACATTAAAAGTATGCTTCTGTTTAGCATATTTCTTAGAAGTATAACTAAGCATATATTTAATACAAAAGTACTTCTAGTATACTTTTTAGAAATATATTAAAATGCAATTCAATATATTTTTATTGCACTTCAAATAAGCATGTTGGGAATACAAATGTATTATAAACATACTACTTGAATTTCAAGTATATTTTTAATACATTTAATACTACGTCTTTTTCACCTGGGTACCCACAGCAATTTGCAACTTTCATACTTGCAAGTCTTGCAACTTACTAGGGGTCCCTTCTCTGACAGCACTCTGACAGATGAGGCACCAAAATATTTCAGGAGATCCTCCTTTTCATCTCTGTTGAGTTCTCTGGGCAGATGTCGTACAATGAGGGTTTTGCTTTTCTTTGTTTGAACGTCGGCCTCGTCCATCTCTGCCATGATTCTAAATTCAAATACAACAATTAAATAAGTCAGTTACTCTGTCTGTTCATGATGCAAATAACATGTGGATCTTTAAGATAGGTAGAGGGTTAAAAACTATGTTTTTACTGTTATGTAGTCAGTCAAAACAAAGACTTTCTGCATTATTAAATACAATTTACAAGGTAGACGTTCATTCTGATTTATTGTCCACAGATTTCCTTTACACTGCACACCAAATTAATATGTTTTAATGTCAATATAAATGCAGAAATGTGTATAATAAATGTAACCAATTTTATATGTTCCCAATATCAACATAATGTCTTTGAAAATAAAATAAACTGAAACAAAGACAAACACTTTGACACATATTAGCAAATCTCACTAATTAATGCAACAAATTTGACCAATAAATAAATGCCATTTGACCAAAAATTTTACACATTTCCCTACACATTTCGTACCAAGTTCAAATTACTGCAATACAATAACATCATTCCTGCCCGCCCCCCCCAAAAAAAACAGCAAAGTTGAATAATATCTTACCGTTATAATAAAATAATAAATTATCATTATTTTGCATTACAGTAGTAAAAATATTGACGTGTTTTTGCATTATTGAAAACTTGTAGATAATTATCAATAAAATAATGGACTTCAAAAGTTTCATAAGATTCACCTAGACAGTTACTACACTCATTATTACTTTTTTTTTTCAACATTAAATACACTGCATGGGTTAATGCATTTTAATTCTTTTCAGTACTATAATAGAGTGTAAGTTTTCATGAAGTTAGTAAAACTGCAGCGCATCTGTCCGGAACTTAATTTAAGCATCTAGTGTTGTTCGGGGGAATGTAGTTCTGGAAGCACAGTCTGCACAGGCTAAAAACACTAACGTAGCAACAAATCTGGCGCTTATGTAACACAGAAGGACACTCTGGATTTGCATTTAAGGAGTAACATGCTTAAGACTGTTTTAGTAGGTAAACAGGTTCAAAATTAGCAAATGTACATGCAAGTTTAGAGGTTTTGTTCTGAAGCGAGCCTGACAAATCATTAGCATCAACAGCTTACTAGAAAACAGAAGAGCTCATAGTTCAGATAAAACAACAACAACAAACAAACCATTGTGCTATTAAAGAAATATAGACCAGCATAAAAATAACAACTGACACATGTGGATGTTTAAGAGAGATGTGAGACACGTACCCGGTTCAAATTCACCCTCTTCCGCACAAAGTTTGTGGGCGTGTCTAATGAGTCAAGGAAATCTGATACCTGATTGGTTGCTTGTGGGTCATTCATATCACTGATTGGTGCGCAATGCACATCAATCACATACGGTCCAAATTCAGAAAACATTTTTGTTTTCGGCCAGGAGATGGCACTGTTGTTAACAAAATTAATCAGTATCAACATCTAGACATCAAAGTTTTTTTTTCCAATATTGAGCCAATGAAGAGGCCTTTAACATTAAAATGTCTCTGTAATACTCATACTATGTGGAGATCAGTCAAATGTGTGTATGGCTGGCATATGACCAAGCCAAATAATGGCCTCCCTTCCTCCTTCCCAGTCATACCATACTGCTCTTCTGTGTCCTGAGTCCCATTTATTCAGGATTTTTTTTTTCACATATTCAAAAATGCATATTCAATGAGCTTGAAAGTTGGCAACAGCGTATGTTTGCTTAGAGTGAACTAGCGGTTGCAGATCTGGATTGGTTGTCACCACCGTGCCTTACAAATACAAATTCCTTGCTGAATTTCAATCCATGGCATATTGTCTATTAGCTTTTCATTTTTTTGAGATATGAAATGTAACTTCTTTAGAACACAACTTCAAACCCGATGACAGCCTTTATGAGTTCTCTTCATACTCTGGGAACAATCACAGAGGACTGACCCCGGTTTATGGGCCAACTTAACTTGGAGATTGTCCTCACTATTGTCTGACAGCCTCCAAATTCCAGTGCAAATGAAGTTTTTTCATTGCAGACAACGTGGGCATTCCTTACAAGGGGGAACAATGCCCCCTTTCAGCCTGGCTGGCTCTGAAATTTCACAGGTGAAGGGAGGAGCGGAAGGTATCTAATCCCTGACCCAACAGTCCGAGCCTGGAGAGAGCAGGGAAGGGGGCTGCCTGTCAGCTGGCCCGCAAGTGACAGAAATGTGTCAAAAAGAAAAGGCCTGTGCCCCATCAGCATTGCCTTGTGAAGCATAAATCAGCTTTCATGCTGACTACTCATGCTCATACAGTACTATGAACTCTCTAAGCATGTCAGTCATTGTTTGATGGTGGTGACTGATATTAATGTAATTTACTTTGCAAAAAAATTATATATAGAATTTTAATTATGTTGTATATATTTTCAGTTTATGTGGTGTGAATATTTGAATGTAAACTATTTATTTATTTATTATTTATTTATTATTATTATATATATATATATTTTGCCGTTTATTTAAATGGTCCTGCTGTGTTACAAATTAATTTTTAGAGATAATCCACAGTCGCTCTTTATTATATATATAATATAACATATTTATTTATTTATTCATTCATTCATTCATTTCATACTAGATTATAAAGTGCAGTGATTAATGGACAAAAATCCACAGTAGTTAATTTTCATTGAATATTCATTTTTACAAAGAGCATTGTTTGATGGTGGTGACTGATATTAATGTAATTTACTTTGCAAAAAAATTATATATAGAATTTTAATTATGTTGTATATATTTTCAGTTTATGTGGTGTGAATATTTGAATGTAAACTATTTATTTATTTATTATTTATTTATTATTATTATATATATATATATTTTGCCGTTTATTTAAATGGTCCTGCTGTGTTACAAATTAATTTTTAGAGATAATCCACAGTCGCTCTTTATTATATATATAATATAACATATTTATTTATTTATTCATTCATTCATTCATTCATTCATTTCATACTAGATTATAAAGTGCAGTGATTAATGGACAAAAATCCACAGTAGTTAATTTTCATTGAATATTCATTTTTACAAAGAGCTAAATTAGAGATAACTGTATTAATACAAACCAATTTACAATGAAGACCTTAAAAAGGGTTAAAAGGCAATATTGAACTCTACAATGTGGGTGTACCTGAAATATTATGACCATTGAAATCAGGAAAATGTTTATTAGTGGGCTTCCGTGTTTGAACATCCAGGGTTGATTTCTACAAACAGACACACTGCAATGTGCCTTGGGACAGCAGAGCAAGTCTGAGTTGTTTGCCAGTAACAAACATTAATTTGGGTGACGGTGGTGGAGGGGGGCCTGTCTGCAGTAAAAGCACTTTCTGGATCAACACAAGCAGAGACACCACATTCCCTGAGCTGTAATTTATATGACAGCTCTAAAACAAGCCTGCTGTCCTGGCTGTAGGAGAATAATTCTTAATACCAAATGTTCAGAAACAGCCAGAGTCTTATGTGTAAAGGAAAGTAAATAAACAGATAAACAATTTAAAATTTCCTGTTTATTCTCTTTGGGAATGAATGTGTGCTTCTCCCATTTTCAAAAATTCCTAGCAAAGACATTTTTGTCTCACAAGACATAAAAGGGAAGCAAAGGAATCACAGCTTATTTGTTATAGTTATTTTAAGATGCTTATAAACTTTTATATCCTGCACAGTAGTGACAATCATCTGAGAACATTCTTAAAGAAGTGAGTAAATAAAAGTGGTCTTGTTAAAAGTTGACCATATTCTTTTGTAGCAAATATATGCATTTAAAAATCACAATACAGTAATTTTATATATTTTTCATTTTTTTGAAGACGGAACAAAAAATATTGATGGCTCATCTTGCACTCAAAAGTGTTTTGTCCGATTAAATTCTCTCTAAAAGGACAATGTCTCTTCCTGTAATAACTACTTTTAAATAATGGCAAGTTGCAAATCAGTTCAAGTGTGATAGTAATTAATCGGATTTAATCGGAGTAAAAACTACTGGCATGTTATTGTAGACAGAGCAACACAGTTAGCAAAATGATGGAAGTTAGCAAACTGCTTAGCCTTTAAATCACACTGACAGTGGGGCTGACACCACTGCTCCCCTTTGCTGTCTTCCTCTCTCTAAAAGTGAAAGGAAATAATTTCATCAGAAGTAAAAGGATTTCATCAGAAGTAATTTTACAGAGGAAGGAAGCCTCATACTGAGTAATTCCTTATGTTATTGGCTACAAGCATTCATCAAGAAAACTGACAAGATCTACTGTATGAGTCGTCATTTTAACCACCACTCCCACACCCTCTCTCCTCATTCTCCATCTTTCTCTCACCTCCTCTCTGTCTGTCTCTTTGACTTTCTCTTCAGCTGGCCTTCAGCACCTGCCAACATGCCATCATAGTGCTTCTACTTTGGGGGTGTTTCGGGCCTCACTTGGTTGTAATTAAGACAGATGAAACAATGCGCCAGTGGAGTGGATTAGAGTTAGCACTCCTTTAATTATTCCCAGGACAACAGAAAATAAGGTCCATATGATGGTGATAACAGCACAAACCAGATTCCTGAGCAATGTGCCATGCAGATGTGAGCTCAACACAATGAGAGCAAGCTAGCCCGGGTTTCTTTTAACATTCTGTTTTGTCATACTTTGCTCTGGTTTTGATATTTTATCATGACATAATACATTGAGGCTTGTGGCAGAATACAAACCAGACAGCTTATTTATTTAATTTTGCAAGACAATGTTATTCTAATGGTCGTAAAAACGAAGGACTTTTTAAGATTTTTTTTTTCCTGGTTGATAAACAGATTTTGCTCCAGTGTTTTAAGTGACCGCTCTCCAGTGTTTACAGACATTGTCTTTGCTCCGATAATTTAAGTGACTGTTCTCCAGTGTTTACAGGTGGCGACTGTTATCCTGTGATTTCAGATGGCACCTGCGTGCCAAAGATCTCAGGTTATTTCAGACAGTAAGCTACCTTTATTCCAGTGTTTCCAGTTAATGATTGTTTTCCAGTAATTTCAAACTGTGACTCTTCTCCATTGTTTTCACAGTATGTGCACTCTATCATTTTAAGATGGTGACTGTTGTCCAATGATTGCAGACGGTGCCTGGGCTCCAGTGATTTTAGACAGTGACTTTGTTTGGCTGTTTCAGACGGTGCTGTGCTCCAATGATTTCAGATGATTAAAGGCAATACAGTGTGTATTTTCAGAGAGTGCCTGTGCTGCAGTGATTTGAGACAGTAACTGTGCAAAAGTGATTTCAGACAGTGACTGTGCTTCTGCATCTCAGTTTTTTTTTTCTTTTTCCAGTGATTTGAGATTGCACTTTCAGACAGAAGACTCCTTTACTCCAGTGTGTAATTTACCTTTTATCCAGTGATTTCAGACAGTGACTTTTCTACAACGTTTCCAGATTCTCTGATTTCCAGTGATCGGAGACAGTGTCTGTGGTCCAGTGATTTCTGGCAGTGTTGTGCTCCAATGATTTCAGGTGACTGAAGACAATACAGTGTTTTCATACAATGCCTGTGGTCCAGTGATTTGAGACAGTAACTTTTATATAGTAACTTTTATAATAGATAGCACTGTGTTTTCCATTGATTGACACTGTGCCCAGTGATTTTGGATGGTGGTGTGCTCCTGTAATTTCAGGCAATACAGTGTTTTCAGACAACACTAGTAATTTGAGACAGTGACTACGAAATCTGTGATTTCAGACAGTGACTATGCTCCAGTTTTTCTTCAGAAAGTGACCGTGTTCTAGTGATTTCTGATGGCACCTGTGTGCTAGTGATTTCAGACAGCTTGTGTACACCAGGGAATTCTAACAGCATCTTTACTCCAGTGTTTTCAAACAATGCCTGTGCTCAAAAAGGAACAGAGCTCCAGTGATTTCAGACAGTGACTATATTCCATTGTTTTTTAACAATAAATGTGCTTTAGTGAATTTTTTTTTGTTTGCTTTAACATTATGAGAATTTCTGGACTTAAACCGTTTTGCCAGTGTGAATGACATCATGGGAAAGATCATGGGGAGCATTAAGTAAAATTAATGTTAAGAAGAAGAAAAAAGCGTGATCTAAAGAAACATTTGATTTTTTTCATGCTTTCATTTTTTTCTTGCTCTCCATATTTTGCTTTTAACCATGGTTTCATACCATCAATTATGGAAGTTATAAGTTCTGTGGCATCATTCCCTTGATCACAGCAGCTTTGAACTGTGCGGTTTTGACTGAGTTTATCATAGAACTGTTTTGACAGCTCAGCCAG